TTTTCGCTGATTCATCTTCCCGACATCATTGCTTGGTGCGGCTTGTTTCTTGGTGTGGCCTCTTTAATGAGGAGTCTTAACGAAGCTGCCCCCGCATAATTCGGTCTCAGGGTCTAGCATGTCGAGTGTCCAAGGGCTGTGGGCAGGATGCCCAGCAAAGCCGAAAGAAAGAACAGTAGCCCGATCAGCACCCTCAAGTTTCATCTTGCTCCCGACAATCCGTGGCGTGTAGCCCATCCCTCGGCCCTTTACCCCAATGCCCTGGAGGGCGTCGCTCTTTTGCGGCCTAGACATGCCATGGTTTTCAGTGTAGGTTGGCGTGGGGCAGCCTGGAGTTTAAGCAGGTTGTACATGACACTGCCATTGATCTTTTAAGCTTTCACCCATCGCGCCATGCTGCAAGCTCGGCTATGGATTGACAGTTTCTCTACACTTTGCCATCCTTTCCCCTTCACTTCTCAAATGTTGCAGCAGGTACAACCTGTACACGGCTTGGGTCTGCCTTCTCTTTATTGTGTGTGGTTTCTTTGCTTGCTGCTTTGGAACCCGCCGTCCTAATTTGCGGTCCAAACTGTTGGGGATGATGCAGGTGCCCTTGAGTTGGCTAAGAGGCTTCCCCCCTGCTTACTCTCTTTCTGTCTCCTTTTTTGCTTCCGCGGGTCCGCGAAAGTCACATAAACCACCGGAAAATCAGAGCATGGCTCGAGTTCTGCTGTATGGCAAAAAACACGGATTCAAGCAACATGATCTCTGGCATGTAGTAGAGCCTTCAGCGTCCGACACCGCCTCGAAAACAGTCAAAAAGGTCTCACTAACAAGGTGATTTCTCGTGGATCAATCCGCCCGTAATTTCTACGTTTTCGATCGTCCCCTGGAAGATCTTGCTAGCCAGCAATGGTGGCCAAAAGCTTGAGTGTGAAGAAAGCTGCCGGGCATCTGACCCAACACCAGCATGACAACTCGCGCACAGGCAAACATACGCAGGCAACCGGCAACCATGTCTCAGCTGCTCTCTTTCATGCATCGCATGCGCCAGGTCAGTTTTGAGAATACATTCGTGAAGGAAACAATCAAATCCAACAATGCCAGCCTGAAATGCAAGAGCCTGAAGGCAGAAACGTGATGCTCGACGATCAGAAATAGCACGCCTCCATCGCAGAAAGCGCAATCCATATGCTGCAAGTGCGCTGGGTCAAAAGTGGGACAAGACTTGCAGTGGACTGTTGTGAACTCCACGCTTTTCAAGCTCAAGCCTTTCAAGATTCAGACTAGCCACCAGCCCCAGCGCACATTTTGTGGTATGAGCTGCTGTCAACACTAACCCATATTTTAGGCCTAGCGGCAGGGGCCGGCCCTGCCGCCTTCGTACTTTGATGGCTTTTCTTGGGCTTGTGACCCTTCTGGTCCCAACTAGGTAAAAATGGATTCCCAATTGTGCTGATGATGCTTCTGTGCGATGCGCGCGCGCGCGCGCCACGTACAGGAACACCATCAGCACAACTGGGACCTCATTTTGGGCCGTTTTCAGTTAAACTAGAGAAACCGGACCTTCCAAACCTAAAAAACATCCCAGGTAGCAATAACATAAGTTTTTCGTGCATTTCTCTCAATCAGGATCATCAGCATGGCTCGGCTTTCGCCTGATGGCTGGGTGGGCAGGGGGCGGTGGGGCTGCTAAAACCCACGCGCAAGCCCCATCAAACCATCATAAAACCAGCATCAGCATCATTGGTTTCGCCTCCCATGCACCCAATGACCCCTACCCATCCCTACCCCAAGACGGGCCTTGGGGCTAGTTTTCAAAACGGCCCGTGCTCCTGACGCAAAATCTGGGGACCCAAAAATCATTCAAAAATCCTTCCCTCCCGTGGGGATTCGCTGCTGGAGCGCATGTGAATTTTGGAGTGGTTTTGGAAGGGGGTCTGGCAAGGCCCTTTGGAGAAACGGAGGTCCGGTCATGCACGGGGGGGTCGGCGGCGGTGGCGCCACCCCCTGTAGAGCTATAGAGCTAAAGCTAAAGCTCTGGACACGGGCACTGCCCTGGACCACGGCGACAGGGCCGGATTTTAGGCCTAGCTGCAGGGGCTGGCCCTGCCGAGGTCGTACTTTGATAGCTTTTCTTGGGCTTTGACCATCCTATCAGCTGCACAATTGGGACCCCATTTTGGCTTGATTGGGACCAGGAGGGGTCAAAAATCCAAGGAAAGCCATCAATGATGACTTTAGACATGGTTCTCTGTGCAGGCTGACCATGTTCTAGCGCACGACTGCTTTTTTTTTGCAAATCAGCTGCCAGTAGCAGCCACGTTTCACGCATTGGACAAGCTTCGGAGCCACAAAACAAAAGTACTGGACACATGGGCAAAACGCACCCAAAAACCATGCAACATGCACATTTTATAGGGTTTGGCCTGGGCAATGCATGCCAAACCTGTCGCATGCTTGCCCACTCAAGCAAAAGGAGAAACGGGACCCCGATGATGCTGATGATGCTGGCCAAGGGGGCCAGCATCATCAGCATCATTGGGGGTCCGTTTCTCCATTTTTGGCCTCCCATGCACCCAATGACCCCT